CGCATCTTTTTCTTTTTTTTTTTTCCTTTGAGGAAGCAAGCTGGCTTCTGGCAGTTCGCTCCTGCTTCCGATACGACTACGGTCTTTATTGCATTCTCGAGCTACTGTGCATGTGCGTATGTGTGTGATTCTTTTTCTCATGAGACTGTGTTTTCCCGCTTATTTTTAAGACCGACAGAAATGTGAACCTGCGCCTTGAGGAGAAGATATTATCGGGGTGTGATTTGTGTTTGTGCGTGCGTTTGTGAGTGTGTGTACGTTACAATGTAAACATCGTTAATATGCCTGCTGCTACTTCTGGGTCTAGTCCCACAAGCCCTTGGGGCTTTGGCAGGACCTGGAACTTGATTCTGACTGTAAGAATTAGGTATTAAAGATTATTAATATTATTATTATTATTATTATTATTATTATTATTATTATTGATAAGGTTAAATATCTTGGGATAGAATTTGACAATGATTTGTCATGGAACACTCATCTCTCACAGCTTTGCAGAAGATTGCGGAGTGTGTCATGTTTGCTGTACAATACACGATCCTTAATACCTAGGTAAAAAAAAAATAAAATAGCTGAAGCATTAGTACACGGAATTTTGCGGTATGGGGGGGGGGGGGTATAGCAATTTTTGGACATAGCTCTGGAGTCTGGTACAAAAAATAGATACAATTTTGAATGGCATTTTTAGAAGCATTGTCTATGGACCACAATTGCAAACTGAACGGGAAAAACTCGCCAACTTAGGTTTGCCCTTCTTCAGGGCTCTTTTTTGGTTCAGACTGTAGTCATTTAAGTATTTTTCGAGTGATATATACAAGATACCCCATGTGGCTACTAGATCACTTAGACACACAGAACGATTTAAGGTACCTTTTGTCACAAAAAATACGGGAACAGGGTTTGGGACTTTTATGTTCCAACGATTTTCAGCAGCCTACCAGACGACGTTTATGGTGCGGACTCTCTGAAGAAACTAAAACTAGCACTCCAAGATCTCAGCAAAACATCATGAATTTGTGTGTCTGTGTGTGTGCATGACCCTGTGTGTTTTGCGTGAACGCTAAAAAACGTGATTTTCTTTGTATTCTTTCTCTAATCATCATCGTCAGTATCATAGCGTGGTAACAGTTGCCTGAGTCGCGAACTGCAAATCAGGGGGACATTTTGTACTCATGAAGTGACGGGTGCTGTCCCACAAGTCATCCGATTGGCTTTGACAGACCCGTTTTTCTATCAAATATGATACATGCAAAAAATAAACATTAATATTAATTTTATTACTAATATTATTATTATTATTATTATATTGATAATAATAACAATATTTACAAGAATCAAGAATAGCTTTTATTTGGTGCCCAGGAACTTTATTCCGACCTATTGAATCTCGGCTGGAGGAGCAAAAGGCTCCTCCAGTCGAGAAACGCCACCTGCCAATTACATTGTTCAGCAGGCACAAAGCAAGTTACATAAAATAACATTTGAAGTGCACGACAGCACATCACAATCTTATGTATATACTGTTAAAGCAAATCACACAATCTTACGATACTTGCACGAAACAAAGATCATTAATAATAAAAAATAGAAAAAAGATGAATATACTTAAGCTTTATTCCATGCGCACATAAACACAATCACAGTCAACACAGTGCGGCTTGCCGCCCGTTCCCGTCCGCGTCGGCTTCCCGTCGACTCGGCCCACCGCTGCCAAAGTTTGCCGACCCTTGGTCTAGGGCGTCGGAGTTTTCGGCGATGGCACTGCGCTTATTGTCGATCTTACGCACGTGGTTCTTATGTTGGCAGACTCGCTAGCAAAAGTTCTTTGTCTCGCCGATTTATATGTCGAGGAGCAGTCTGCGCATGGAATCGTGCAAACCACAACCACTGCTCATTTCTTCTGGTAGATGATATTTGGGTCCTGCCATGAACCTTCCCCGTTTGGACGCGAACTTGTGGTTTAGAATTACTTCTTTCCCCAGTACTCTCGCCAGCGCTTCGCTGGTCCCCTGTACGTAGGGGCGCTGATGCGCACGACTTGATGGGGCTGCATTTCTTCTGGTGGCTTCTGTTTTTATCTGGCGAGACCTTGGTATCGGACGATTCGTCCACTGAAGCTAGTAGCCTTAAAGGGGGGGGGGGGGGGGGGGTGAAACGATTCTAAAAGCAAAATCATTTGCATCTCGTCATTTTTACGTTGTTTATCATGTCCCGGAGGACAAAGGAAATATCTCCTTCATTATACAAATGTCAAGATTCCGCCGCATAATCGCAAAGCAAAGCTCTAGCTTTTCCCCCCACCTGCAGCCGCAAGTGGCAGCCGAAGGAACTACGGCGATAATATTACGTGACCTCGTTCGGCTCTAAAGGCTCTGTTATACTCCGACGTAACGCGTGCGCGCGTGCGAGCGCGTCAAAGCGACGTCACGCCGGCGAAAACCCGACGCCCTATATTCCGGCGTCCGTCGTGGCGTAACCGACGCGACCGGCGGCGTTCGACGTAGCCTGACCGCGTCGACGCCAAAATGGAGCATGCCGTATTCCGCGCCGGCCGCGCCAGCGACGCCGGACCAGGATGCATCACGCGCTGGCTCCCGGCAGCCCTCGCGCGGGAAGCGCGGCGAATACGAGCGATAGCAGACGACAGGAGCACCACTCTGTGTGGCGTTGTTTGAAGACATGGACGCGGTCGTCGAGAAGCTCATCGAGGGAATTCGTCCTCACCCGTGTGTCTACGACACTAGGAAGGTTGAGTACCGTAGACCGTGCGCTTGTCAAAGGTGTACCGTATGGACATTGACCGCCTACGCTTGCGGCGCAGGTGGTGCACCAACAGTGCAAGCGCGAGTTTTCGTCGTGCAAGGTACGTCCACGCCATCGCTCGAACTTGGCGCTCAAGAAGCGCGAGCGTTTTCGTCTGCTATTTGAAACGAAAAGGAACCGGAAGTGACGCACTCTCGCAGGAAACGTGCCTCGTAGTCAGACTCTGCGCATGCGCCACGCCGGCGGCCCACCGACGCACAGCCGCGGGAGTCGCCAGGGCCGCCGGAGTGTAAAGAGGGCGAATTTTTGACGCGCGCGGCGTGACTGACGTGACGTAGCCGACTTCGGCCAGCGTTCGCTTGCGCGCGCGTTACGTCGGAGTATAACAGAGCCTTAAGCTGCAGCATAACGTCCGCTAATGTAAGCAGAGAGAGGAAGAGGAAGCGTCCTCCGAGAGAGCACACGGGAACCTACATGGCACGCCAGAAATGCCCATATTTGTTGTTTCGTTTTTACACAAGAACTAGCTAGCTAGCAGGCGAAATCGGTTTTCTAGTTTTTACTTCACAAGTGTCACAGGGCAACTTCCCCAAATTTTTAACCCAAGTCCGGATATCGTTGCACCCCCCTCCCCCTTTAAGATCTACAATGATGGTCTCCTTCCTTTTGTCGGGTTCCGAAGGGCAGACAGTCGCTGCCCTATGCAGCAGTGTCGAAACCACTGACGCCTAGTGACTCGTTGGGTGGCTGGAGTCAAAATCGAGGTTGCGTAAGGTGTGTTTTGGTTTCCTGCACAGCATAAACATCATATCTTCCCCTCGCCTTTTCACTGGGAAAACTGCAGCGTGCCGTCCGTCTCGCATTCCACGGTGAAATTAATAGTCGGCTGGATGGAGTTGAAGTGCGCCAGTTGATTTTTGACGTTTGGTTTATTGAGAACGCAGAAACAATTATCCACTTAGCACACAAATACTCTGGGGCCTTAGGGGAAAGACAATGGCGCTTCTTGTTCGATTGTTTTCGTAAAAAGGTCGCCGTCGTGACCGAGACAGCCGCTTTAGTTTCGAAACCAAGCTTGTTTCGAAACGTAGTCTTTCCTTTCAAGAATTGTTTATAACTATATATATATATATATATATATATATATATATATATATATATATATTACTTTAAAATAAGCTATTTGTTATACGGAGATTCGCTACGGCATATTCAGCATATGGGATAATTGACAGGACCTTCAAGTGCTTCAAGTGCAGGCTGACATTTGTCTTCCATAAAACTGGCCAAAGGGTGTAAGAGAAGATATCTCCGGCAAGTTTGGTTGAAGTCGAATTCTAGGCACCACCTCATGGAACTGCATAGACAGATTCGTTTGAAAGATGCCAATTCTGTCTTTACGTCGCCTGCCAATGAAAGCAAATCCATTTCTGTCATAGAGAAAGCTGCACTTAAGTGATTTCCATAAAACGACTTCTTTTTGGTGTGACCTATTTGTTTTAACGGATTGTTTTAACAATTGGTGTCCGCGTTGGCACAGGGATAGATAAATCGACGATCGAAATGGCGTGGTCACTTAAGGCAGCAACACAGTTGACAGTTTTTATTACTTCTTTGATGCTTGCAAGGACAAGGTGAAGAATATTGTTGCCACGGATGGGTTGCTCGACAACTTGGGTGAGGTTAAAATTCGAACAGTTACCGAGAAACTCCCTCGCAACATTCGAGCCGCTCGAGGTAAAATTAACCAAGACAGTGTTTGGACAATTAAAATCGCTAAAGATAAAGTCTGTTTTAGGGTAAAGGCCCTGAATGTCAAGCAGAACGGTGTGTAGAGTGTCACAATACTCAGAACCACTCTTCGGTGAACGACAACACGCACCGATTATAGCTTCTTTTATAATCGGTGCGTGTTTTCCTATAATCGCGCGGGAACGTCAGAACTCGGCGTTCTGACCGTCAACGCGCGGCCTCACCTCCTCTCTCTCTCTCTCTGTTTCTCGGTGCAATGCTATCGCCTTTTGACGTGGTCTGCAGCAACGCAACTCAATATTGTCGCCCCGTTTTTATTAAAATTGACATTTAGTTAATGTCAATCGACTAAATAGCTGCACGCTTCTGCGCACCTGTTTTCGTTTTGTTGCGCGTTGTCTACATTTTCTGCAGGACACTAAAAATACTGTATAATCAACGACGAACGTTCTCTGTACAGGCAGGCCTACCAAAGAATAAAAAGGATGCCCCTGCACCTGCATCTTGAAGCGTGGTCACTGCTGCTGACTTGCCTTGGGGTCTTCGAAGTCACCTCCCCATATCCAGTCAAAGCTGACCCGGTGATGGTACCATTGCAGACACATTTGCTTAATAGCAGTAAGGTACTTCGTGTTGTTTTTCAGTTATTGTTTTGGCTTGGGTGAACGTCCATACATTGAGCATTTTTTTAGTTATATTTTGATCCACGTAACGTCCAATTCTGAAACTTTTACTTTCTATCCCAACTGCTAGCGTCATATTCTCGCAGGGTGTGAGCTTTCTGCTATGCATAGTTCACTTACCCGAACCGGAAAGCAGGGTTTCCCTTTTCCGGAACGCTTTGTATATATAAATCACTACATAAAAAAGCGCATCTGTTATTACCAATATACCTAATATACACATCCAGGGACTCAAGAAGGAAGAAGTATTCTCATTCGATGGACGATGAAAAACAAAGAATACAGATTATTTCCATGTTGCAGAGTTATGATCTAGTACTTGTCACTTCCAATAGTTTTGAAATCACCAATAACCGTACGGTCGGATTATATTTTGACATGCACACAGACTTCAACTCCCACTTTATAGTTTCGATTTAAATAAATATGTTCTAATTCTATCGCTTATTCATTTTATGAGAATTCTTACACCATGTCTCGGTAAACAAAAAAGCATCAAACAAAATTGAGTCCGCTTAATACAATGCTTAATTCATCAAAGATTTTTCCACACTGATTGCACATTTAAATGAACGGTGTTTCTTAAATTATACGTTTTGTGAAGATATTGCAAAATTTATATTTTTACTGTTAGTATTGCGCTGTGAATAATAATAAAGCAATTAATCATATAATTACCCATATACCTTTTAAAAGGCCCGCAGTGTATTATTACACACGATAATTATTTAAACGAGAAAAGGCAGTAAGAACGCTCAAATATCAGCACTGAATTTCCAACAAATACAATATTCTATGTTTATTGTGAAGGGTTCGAAAGACTCCGTGTTTGAAGGGACACTGAAAGCTCCAAAATATTTTGAAGTGCATGAATCAAATACGGATGCCACAAAGTAAAGTATCTGCGAACAACTTTGTTAACTCAATAATTGCGATGTGAGACACATATTGAGTCATGAAAGATTCTAAAATTAAGACCTATACCGAGAAATTAAAAACAGAATAGAGATGAGCTTGAGGTTTCGTCTCAGAATTAAAACGTTCGTCCTGGCGTAAATGTTACGCCAAACACCGTTTTCATTTCCAGGATAAAGAGGTGACGTACGCTCATAGCACCCTAGCTTCCTCGTATTACCAGAAAAAAATTGTGTCGCTGAGTGAAGCCAGCACACTAGACAGGCTAAGCAGCCGCACATATTTCCGACCCTAAAGAGATATTTTCTACAACATACAAAGTGTGTAGAATGGTGCTGCTTTACTGCGCAGCTCATAACTTAGAACTATGGGACTAGGAGGATTAAAAAAAATAGACAACAAAACACAAAATCTCAAGAAACAGCTGAGTTTATACAACCACGGGAAAACAAGAAAAGATCGAGAGAACAGTACATGAAGTCGCGAAGGTTTGACCAGACGTGGCTTGACAGGCTAAATCATTAGAACACTAGACAAGCTTCCGACAACGAGCATCCGCCGCCAAGCACCCGCAAAGATTATCTCCGTCAAGACTAGGAGAACCGACCAACTTCGAATTCCTGGTCTCAGGGTGTTAGATTATGGGGCGGCAAAGAAAAGCTCGCCGGAGAAAGCTTGCCGGAGATACGCTCACCGTAGAACCGGCAGATGCAGAGAAAAGTTCACCGGCCCTGGCGCGGCTGTGGGAAAAAAGCTCATCGACTTTTTTTAACTTATCGGGTTGTGCGCCACACGTGGAAATTAATGGAATTGAAATTCGTCGCTTCAATCAAAATAATAGTCATTTATTTAAAATATTTATGGAGTTTATTTGGGGCATATTCGCTAATTTTTTAGAAATTAGTAATCACCCGTTCTGTCTATTAATGCCGCTACAAGTATAAAATGAGAACATGGGACACCCGTAAAAAAGAAAACAATTTATTGACAGCTTGACTGTGCACCGTCAGTAGCTGTCAGATAAAGAGGTTTGTTTTTTTGCAAGCTAATTTGAATAGCAGTGTGTGAACCGTTTCAGCCCCGAAGATTGTCGGGTGCCTGATGGATGTGTAGGTATTTGTTAATGTTATTAGAGTCGGGTACACTGTTTTCTTTCTGTTCTTTTTTTTTCACTAATAAGACACTAGTTGCGAGAACAGCTTCGTTATGTCGTGTCTGTTGTCTTCACTCCGTCTTCGTCGTTTAAGCTGTTTTCATTATGTTTACCAACTCGTCCAATTCGCTACCTTACACAAGGCTAGTTCTTATACAGTATAGGCCACGAGTAACAACGGTGAAAGTGTGCAGCTCTGAAAGTCATGGGTGGTTCGCCGTAGAAGGGCACCATCACACACAGGCAACGTGTGGAAAAACAAGCATGAATGCCTAGAAAATGTGCAAGTCCGTGGAAGAAAGAAAACTCAATATCCTGCCTTCTAATCGTTCTTTCCTGTTTTCAAAGGTTAACAACAGCTTCAAAGAAAATTTCTGGAACCGCGTTGCTGTTCATGCCCTTCCAGATGTTAAAAATTTACAATTTAGCTTTTCAGGCTTTAGGCCAGACATTATTAAGTTTTCGAACTTCTTCCTTTTTTTTAAGTTCATAAAGTTTTCAGTTAGGCTTTCGTTACCTAGAAAGTAAACCATAGAAAACACTCGCCTCGCCCGCAATAATTAATCTGGGAGCAACGTACCGCTCAAGCCTAACAAATATTAGAAGAAAATACATTTTATTTTTTACAACACTTAAGAATTTTAATGATAATAAACTGATGTATGTTATGCATGATCCGACAGCTTCCATATAAAAAAAAATAAAAAGGTGAGTTTTTTTCAGCATCTGCTCAATGACCGGTGAGCATTTCTCCGCTTCCGCCGGTTTTGCGGTGAGCTTTTCTCCGGGATTCAGATTAGTATGTTTCCTAACCAGATCGTTTGCGTGCGTTAACTTTTCAAAAATTCATACTGTACCAAGCTCTTGTTACCTTTCTCTATCATTGTTTTGCCTCTAAAGGCACCCCCCCCCCCTCCCTTTTCCTTTTTATTTCGTAATGAATTTCGGCGGACGCCACTGCTACCGGGAATTGTAAACAGTAGGAATGAATGGTTGCCTTGAAGCTCAAGCGCACATACAAGGAAGGTGAGGCACTGCGTAAACAAAGGCAGTTAAGTCTTCTTTAAAAAGCCTCTGACACGCAAAAAAAATATTTTTTTTCATGCTAGGCGTTGAATTGGCATGTCAGGACATTACAAAAAAATTGTTTCACTACAGAGGTGCGTAGTCTTTTTTATAAAAAATAGAAATACGAGGCCCAATTCAAAGTTCCCGCCAGTGCACTGTGACGTATCAGTGTACCGCAAGGTGTCGGGACGGCCAGAAGGGAGGCATCGGCGGAAGACACGTGAGTTGTATCCCTCCTCGTGGTTACCGCGAGCGCGCGTAATATTTTTTAAATATGTTTTGTTGTTCTCCGCACCTTCACGAGCGATCAAAGCAGACAAGGACAAGGTTTCCTTTATCTGCTTTTCATCGCTTAATGTTGCTGCAAAAGTAGAAGAAGAGGAGTCAGTGAAATGACGTAATCAACTACAATGCCTAGAAGGTACTGTGTAAGGGACTGTCCCGGTATTTCAGCAACTGAAGAGATCACAATGCATGCATTTCCGACGGACGGCAGGCATTTTAAGCCTGGAGAGTATAAATGATTCGACGACAACGGTGTCCGAACCTTCAGCAATGCAATTGGGCGTGTCGTACGCTAGCAATCCTAATTTCTGCGAGCGTTCTAAATTTTTTTTTTAAGACTTGATAGCTTCTTTTGCGCCCAGTATAGCTCTGTATCATCGGACTGATCGCATGCACTCGTACACTGGCTTGTACTCGCAACGCTTTCATCACTGACCTTACTGACTCTTCGTCCTCAACTTTTACAGCAGGCAAACTAATCAACGGTGCAGCGATAAAGAGCTAGTGGAACTGAAACTTCGTTTTCTACAATCGCTCGTACAAAGAGCAGAAAAAAAAGAGCCTTAGGCACGGTCGCGGAGATCAGAAGGAGTGAAACTCACGTGACTTCCTGCGAACGCACTTTTAGTGACGTGGGTCGATGCCTCCCTTCTGACCGCCCCGACACCTTGCGGTGCACTGTTACGTCACAGTGCACTGGCGGGAACTTTGAATTCGGCCTCCTATTTCTATTTTTATAAAAAAAAACTACGCAACTCTTTAGTGAAACAATTTTTTTGTAATGTCCTGACATGCCATTTCATCGCCTAGCATGAAAAAAAAATTTTTTTTTTTGCGTGTCAGGGGCTTTTAACATGTTCTCTCCAACTGCTAATGTGCGAGTTCCGCAGTGCCTCCCTCCAGGCTCCAAATGTTAGGTTAGCGTAGTAAAACTAACAGCAAAAACACGTCCCTATGGTTAGCAACTTCTCTATCTTGTGTTACTTGTACGAATTACGCTACACGTCGATAGTTTGAAATGGTAAGCCGATGTTATTTGTTTTTCACCTCACAACGCTGAGCACCAAGATAGCGGCCCCCCAGATACTACTTCCCTCACTTCGTTTACACGGTGACCGAGTTAACTATGTTCAAGAAACCTGCGCTTGAGGAAGAAACGAACATATAAGTCGAAGGAACAGAAAAATTTGAACTGGTGAGAGGATGCCCCTTTGTGTTTACAGTGGATGATTGTGGGCTATATAAGGAGGCGGACTAAATAAACCTGGTAGCTGAGTTTTAGACGTCGTCCTGTCTTTTTCTGTTCCTTTGACTTATATGTTCATTTCTGCCCCAGTCTCAGGTTTATTCAACATGGTTAACATTCAACAGCTCGCCCCCCTGCACCCTTACTATATTATCTGTGACTGAGATGCTTGATTTACCAAGGCATTAAAACTTGGGTTTGGGCTAGTTGGTCCATTACTGAATAAAAGGTTAAAAAGAGCGAACAAACGAGGACAATAAAGAAACACGGACG